CTTTCAATGGATGGTTTAAACCAGAGAAGATTTTATTGTGCTTTCTCAAAATTCAAGAAAGATGGAGTAGTAATTTTTGTAGAAAAGCTCAATGTGATCTGTGCATATACAATTTAGCACTGTCAATTTTTATTTATATTGATGATAATATTGTCAAGGACATGTGCTTTGAGGAAAGAAAAAACTCATTGGATAGCAGGCTTTGTATTAAAACTGCTATGATAAGAAAATCACAATGACACAATGTCATTCATCTTGAGAGAATGCTAATGGACAGAGAAGATGGCTTGGGAAATTTCCACTCTGATGTGTGATCATATTGTAAAGGAGGTTCAAGAAGGTTCATTGGTACCAACACACTCAATTTTCCACCACATATTTTGATCAGAGCTCTGGAGAGTCTTTGGTCATATTGATATGACAGTGACCAATCTGTCTTGTAGTCATTTAGAAGTGATTTGCTATGTTTCTTGTTTGTTTAACCTCACAAGGCTCACTGTCATTAGCAAAAGGAGTGACTAATCATGGCCCGGTTTAGCTCATACTAATACTGAGTATATATATGAATACTTATTGTGTATATTTCTATAGTTACATAGTTTATACATATGGGTTTATATGTACTTTGAGTATATATAAATACACAAATATGTATACATATGTATATGCATTAATCAACTACCAGAAACTATGAATAGACACACATTATGGTATATAATTAGTAATAGAATATGCATAAATGCATGTGAACAGTTACAGATATATAACTGCAGATATTGATATATAGATATAGTTTCTTTTCTATCTTGTACAATCTCCTCCAAGTTCAAAGTATTTCCATTACTTAGTACCTATATTCCGATATATGTTTCTTGGGCACTTGACCTTGGGGTCAAAGCAAACTAGAGCTTCAAATATTACTTCTGAGTTTGCAGTATTCAAAATTTATATACAAGTATGTGTGTGTATGAATATAGCCATCTAAAGTTATGAATACACACACATTATGGTATGTAGGTATTAAAATAGTACCATACACATTCACATGTGTGTGAATAGTTATAGATGTATAAATATGTATGGATATGCAATCCCTTCTTAGTTCAGGGTCTTGCCAATTTGGAGAAGGGCCTGAGGAAAAACCTGGACCCCACTTTTTTTTTAGTTATCTAGCCTTGCAACCCATCAGGGATGAAATGTGAGGACTTTTAGAGTTTTTGAAATGCAATATATGGTCAAAATAGTTCAAGTTTTTAACTAGTAAAGAGCTATAATGGTTGGGTGGGGTCTCATAAAAAATCCCCCAATAGAACATCAGTAGATGAAAAGGAGAAAGGATTCACTAATTCTAAAACCTGAGGACAGGAATAGGCAAAATCTTCTAAGCCGAGATGCTTCAATGACTTCAGAGTGGCATTTTTTTAAATGGATAGGCAAATGAAAAAGGAGATAGGATATGACAGAGCCAAATCAAAGGAAGATAATGTCAGGCACAAGAGCTCAAGCACAGAGGCTAGCAGAGCTTCCACACATCTGTTAGGAGCCCTCTCAGCATGGATGAAGAACAATGGGATGAGAAAGAAGAGTGTAATTACTGAGGAACACTATAATTGTGCTCAAAATGGGAATTTACAGCTAGGGCTGCAATGCCTTTAACTGGCTCTTAGAACCCATTACTCAGTAAAAGCAAAGGTGGGTTTCAAAGGCTTCAAGGTTGCATGGGCTTTAAAATTATAGTGGTGGGTGGTTTGGTATTATGGACATATTTCTCTCTAATTCACTTCTGATGTCTTCCAATGATCCGTATATTACAATGCAATTTTCTTTCCTTCAGTTTTCTCCTGTGTTACCTACTCTTGTTTCCAAATCAGTCTTCCCTTTCTGGACCCTGGATCTCCATTTGTAATATGAGTATGGGTAAAATAACCTCCACACCTATGGGATCAGAGTTCTGTCATCTCCTCTTTCCTCCATCAGTTGATGATTCTGTCTGTCCCTCTTATCCATTCTCTGTGCTCCAAATGTCTGATTCTATTGTATAACCCCAGAGTTTTTATACAGCGCTTGAGTATTATCCATATGTAGGAATGCCTGGTAGAAAAGAGTGTGGATTTGGTGACTCTGTTCTCTGAGACAACTGAGTGTCCTTAGCATTCAAGCTAGACTTTAGTGAGTATGTGGGTATGTAGGGTGGAAAAGGGCAGAGGAGCCACTGAGGAAAAGTAGCAGCATGTTCAAGATATTGAGGTTCAGGAAATGTAGGAGGGACTAAAGATACAGTAAGTAATGATGAGCTGATGGATCACAGAGCTGATGAAGACACAGCGGGTGATACATACATAAAGTACAGTGATGATGTCATATGGAAAAGTAGTGGTATCATAAAGAAAAGTCAACATGGGGTCGAAGCAAGCTGGGGCCCTAAGATTTACTTCTGAGTTTATAATTTAGTGCTATAGTACTAAAATTTTTAATGGATAGCTGTTAGTAGTTAAAAAGAAACAAGAACTGAGACTACCTCGTAAAATTACTTGAACTGAAAACTTAACAGAAAGTAATCACCACTACAGTTTATCCTTTATCTTAAGTCTGCTGTAGGCTATGGATTTAAAAGTCCCTATTATTCTGCTTTGGGTACAGCTGAGCATCCTTACTCAGAATCCCTAATGTTCTGCTCAGTCAAATAATATGCTAGAGTTTTGGAAAAACCAACAGGACAACTCATCTCCCTACGGAATTATCTGGGTTTTATTGTGTTATTCACTATTCCAAATTCTGGGGAAGTTATAAGAAAACCTTTTGTGTTATTGTTAAGAATTGTCAGGAGATATTCCATGTCACCTAAGCCCCTTTGTTATGATGAATTTAGCCTTTGGGTTGGAAATGGACCCTTCACATGCTCTTTATGAAGCCAGGCCAAGTTGCCCAGCTGTACAGGCAATGGCAGGCCAGGAATTTGGATTTCATTCCATTTGTGTCCTTTGATCCAGAGCTGATGTCCTGTCTACAAGGGGGGAGGGGGGCGCTGGCAAGACACATGCCCAAACACTCAATTGCAAGTTGTAAATTTCAGCAAAGCTATTCAATATTCATGTAATTACCCTGGAAAGCACATTTGACATTTCATAAATACAGCAGAATATTAAGCATTTGTCTCTCTTGAGCGCTACTACCAAAGCATACTTAGAAAAATAATCCCCAGGGATCCCTACAGTCTGAAATGGCAACAGTTATTGAGTCCATAAATTTGATAGATCAAAGTCTTCTCTCTTCATCCTATTTATAATTTACAAATGAAAGTGAGACCATATAAACGAGGTAGCCTGCTGGCCTTCATGGAACATTACCATTTCTGGGAAAAGACCTGCTTCCCACCAATTCTGGCTATAGCTTTAGTCCTTTATGCTGAATCCCTTCTCCAAGGTGAGCTTGCAGATCCAGCCAGTGCACAGGCCAGTGGCCAGGGCTTCAAGGGTAAAGCATGGGGGTCCCAGAAGCCCAGGCAGCAGTGTTGATTAAAAGCTCCTGTAATAACTATATAGTCATATGACACATCTAATTTCCCAAGGACTTCAGGGCTCTGCAGCTAGATTGAGAGGATTCAGGGATCTTAAACAAAATCTTGTCCACCCTTCCACTGCCTGCCCCCCCCCAAAAAATAAAAAGCACAACTCCTCAACAATTCACTCCAGAATATAGCACAAAAGAACAAAAACATTTTGTTCTGAACAAGCCTGATCTTCAGAAATCAATACTACAGACTAAGATTCCATAAGCAAAAGTAAAGTGCTGGCTGGCTGTTCATGCTAGGCTGAGAAGTGAGCACAGCAAGGAAGCCTTATCCATCCTGTATACTTGCCATGAAACAATGACCTTCTCTATTACCCATAGGCTAGAGGAAAACCAAAAGCATGCATGTTTATTCCCCCCCCCAAAGTAACAACATAGCCTAATGGATGGGCAGTAAAGTAAGCAATCAATCAAAGGGTTGTTTTTAAAGCCATGTAATGAATTAACCCCATTTGTTTAGAAGTAAATAAACATATGTACTATGAAAATGTGAATTTTCCTTATGTGCTTGAATACACATACATGTTCATTCATCTATCATCTAAAGATGTATATATGTATGTATATGTTTGATAGGAGATGTCTGGAAGTGGGATGGTTTATGCCCATGTCTGATTTTAGTAAGTATATATACATATATTTATATGAATGCATGTGACTACTAATGCTAACCATGCATACACATAATATCATTGTGTGTACTGGAATTTGTAGCTATCACATTATTAGATGTATGCATATGCATAAATATAGAGATGTTACCTATATGTAGTTTAATAATAGTTTATATCAATTTAAATATGTGGATGATATTTTTCATAGCTAGTATATGCTTATTCTCATGTTACTTGTTAATGTCAATAATTCCTTTCATTTTCACCAATATATCTAAGAGACTAAATGACTTGTAGAGGATTGCAGGAGCAGCAAAGTCAAACGTAATATTAAATCCCTATCTCATATACTCTCAGTACTCATCACTCCTAACATGTATTATACATGAGGATGCGCGTGCGTGCGTGCGCACGCGCGCGCGCGCACACACACACACACACACACACACACACACACACACTTATAATGCTCTCGAGAGATTAATGCCAAAGTTCATACCAGATATCCAAATCACGGATATTCAAGTATTATGCCTCTTTCAAATCCATGGCCTCTTTTTTTATTAATTGTTATTACATGTTGTAATGTATTTTCACTTGATAATGACAAGGAAAAATGTTCCATATATCTTCAGTACAGGCAAAACATCTTTTAGGGTATTTTTCATCCAAGGTTGGTTGACTCTGTAGAAGTCAGACTGTTGTTGAAGTGAGATCACAGTATATGCATGTGTATATTGTTTAAGAATACGAATGTGGCGGGCGCCCTCGCACTGCGAGGCCGGCAGGCCGGGACGGGGCAGGGCCGGTGAACTTCTGTGCCTCATCGTCCCGCCGCGGGACATCGGGCAGGCAGCTGGCACCATGAAGATCTGGACTTCGGAGCACGTCTTTGACCACCCATGGGAAATGGTTACCACAGCTGCAATGCAGAAATACCCAAACCCCATGAACCCAAGCGTGGCGTTGACGTATTGGACAGACATGTCAATCCCTCTGGAAAGCTGCACAGCCATAGACTCCTCAGCACAGAGTGGGGCCTGCCTTCCATTGTGAAGTCCCTTATTGGTGCTGCAAGAACAAAAACGTACGTGCAAGAGCATTCTGTAGTTGACCCGGTAAGAAAGACAATGGAGCTCAAGTCCACTAACATCTCATTTACAAATATGGTCTCCGTAGACGAGAGGCTCACATACAGGCCGCACACCCAGGACCCAGAGAAAACTGCCCTGACCCAGGAAGCCATCATACCGTGAAAGGGGTCAGCCTCAGCAGCTACCTTGAACGACTCATGGCAAGCACCATATCTTCCAATGCTAACAAAGGCTGAGAAGCAATGGAATGGGTGATACACAAACTGAACGCCGAAATTGAAGAATTGACAGCATCAGCAAGAGGAAGCATAAGGACACCAATGGCGGCC